TACAGGGGTGTGTGGGACGGGAAACATCTCCCTCCTTGTCTCCAGGGACTTCACTCAAGGTCTTTAACATGAACCATCATGCATCCTAGGAGCCAGGACTGACACAGACCAAGTCCAGCCACTAAAACAGAGTTCATCCCATCTCTAAAGGACAACCCTTGCTCACTGAGTCTATTATCCAAAGTAGCTACCAAGATTGCCAAAACCACCCGGCAGTTCAGCCAACAGCCGTTGTACCTGCTCATCTACGTGGAAAATTAAATAGATACATCGGTGAAAGATAAGTAAATAAATAGCAACACTGTTGAAAAACAACCATTTTGGGGGGGAAGCAAAGCACTAAGAAAATGAGTTATCCTTTTTAAAAGTTTGAGGATCTTCCCTTTTCTCCATTTGCCTTTGATTCGGCTGGCCCATTGTCTCTTCTGCCATCACTTGAAGCCAACCAGACAGATTTATAACGAGATGCTAGTCCTTTTCTACTCTGCTCACAAATATGCGGCCCATCTGCCTCCAATCAATGATGGCGCACGTGGAAATGGGAGCAATGAGGTATTTTTAAACACTCCTTTAATGAATTCATCCCAAGGACTTGGCACTTGGTGCGTTAAGGGGTGAGGGGCGGGCAGAGGGAGGAGAGAGCAAGTACAGGATCTGGTAAATAAGGAGATTTGCCGTAATCTGGATTCTAAAACCCTTGCTATGAAACATCCTGCTTGCCCCCAACAAGCTGTTAAGAGCAAATAGACAAGTCTGCAAGCCAGGTGGTATATGTCATTGTTCGATTTTTTTCTTTCCAGACTTCAAGGACAAGTTCTTAAAACACAAGCAAAACTAGAATTTTATCTAGAGAGGGATACTCCTGTCTACTATTGCTAGAAGGTTTTAAATTATTTGATTAAAATAATCATCGCGGGTCATTGACATGAAGAGTAGATTCAGTTAGGTCCAGAGACTAGCCAGTCCCTTGGGGGGAAAATCAGCATGGAAAACAATTTCGTTTGCCTTTAAATGGGGGGAAAACCAGACATCTGGGCATTGGTAATACAGTCTTAAAGGAGGGTGGGGACCGGGGAATTTACATTGAAATCAACCTGTGTTGAGCTTCAAACTGTGAAAAGCTTTGCAATCCTAGATCTCTAGGATTTATGGCACAATGACCCAGAAATTTCACTCGTAGCTGTTAAATATTGCTGGTTTCTGGAGCCAAAGCGCTACCTCTTAGGCACTTTTCCTTGTCTAACAATTTCCTTAAATTTGAAGCGAAAGGAGACATCACCTAATCGTGTTGTATAAAAGGACAAAAGAAGCGGCCATTGATACTGATGGGCAGACCTGTCTTTTGGTTTTTTAACACCCTGGTTCTTCTGTTTCGTTTGGTGGAAATGCAGTTTCGTTTGGATTTAGAAATTGTTTCTTGTTAGAATTGAGCTTCCTTCTAGTCCCTCACAAGAGGCTGTCTTAGTAAACATGAAATGGCTTTTTCATAATTCCATTATTATCTCTTTTACCCAAGGAGGCTGATTTTTACATTCTTCAAAAGGAGAAATGAAAACGGCAGCAAAGCCCGAGGCATGCAATATGCAAACCCCTCTGGGCCCCAAACCCCATGCCCTCCACTCGCTTTCCAATAAGTCCACTCCATGAGCTCTTCCTCCCACTGACCTCAACCTCATTCCCAAGGGGAGGAGGGAGACGGCAATCGTTATGTTTTGCTTTTGTTTGCTTGAAATAATAAATCCAGAGGTCTCCCTTGCCAGGGTTTTTCTGCTGTCAGCAGTTTTCTGTTTCATTTGCTTCCTTAGTCAAACTGAAACCCAAGCCCTTGTGGTTGGCTTTCGCCCTGACCCCTTGGCTCCTGGGAACTGATCAGAAGACAGATCGCTGCGGGTTCCTGACAAACAGGGAGACTTAGCAGTCTTTCACCCCCCAGAACGTATTTCTAAAATGTCCACCTCCACAACATCTAGGCGCTCCAATATAACTCAGTCCAGAATTGACCCTAGCCTGTCTGCCACCAACTACTTATAATCGCTTTCCAATTTGGGTCAGGGACCTAAAACCATAACTCTAGCCGTGTCTGGGGAGCCAGAAAAAAAAGAGTGCTCAACTATCTAATTAGACGTTGCTTTGCAAGAAAATACCTCTTGGGGCCTGGGAACTACCAAAGAGTCCACTGTTGGCCTTTATGGATACTAATAATCCCGGTTGCAAATAATCAGAAACCTCAAATAACCAAACCGCCTTCGAGTATACTCTGTGAAGGCAAAGACCGAGTGCAGAGGCTGATCACAAGAAGATTCCAAAAGGCAGTCTGCAGGGTGTATATGCCAAAGGTTTGAGAGAAAGCCAGTAATCTTCTGCACTAGACACGCCTAGTACACTCTTCGATAATAACTGACATTTCCGGGTGATAACCCCAAAGTTCTGCCAAGTCCTGGAATCTTCCTGGAAAGATGACAGTACCTTTTATACCATTTTATTCTTAAAGCCCATTTTCATTGGGCCACCTACTTCACAGACATTGGAAGAATCAAATGTGATGATATACAAAAATAAGCTTTACAAGTAGGATGCTAAACAAACATAAGATGTCACTGTTGCTTCTAATTGGTAATCGGAATATGTATTTTGACAGTAACTATATCACCAAAGGAATGGTAACCAGAATGGCCAGTTTACCATACTCTCCCATGTCTCAAACATTCTCGATCAAACAGAGTTAACTGAAAATACAGGTATTGAAAACATAACTGTATTGCTATTTTTGCTTCCTTCTCAGCAATGTGTTTGTGTTTCAAAGAAACAGCTTCAACATTGGTAGAAAGCAAAAGCCAACAAAGGCAACTGGCCTGAGGAGTCTCCGTGAACTTCTGTTTATAAGGCACATCCATCAAAGATGTCAGAAGAGGCAAGAGAATCTCACCAAACCACAGGAACAATTTACTAATCAAAGTCTTCGATTGGAGCCGACCCTCTAAAAGCCAGCTCTCAGACTATGTATGTGTTTTTATTCCTGTAGAGCGCCTTCTTATGTGAGGTCGACCCAAGTACTCGGGTAAATGGTCCTGGAAGAAAAGATGGAAGAATGGAACAGACGGAGCAAGACCAAGGCTTCTGAAAATGTCACCTGCTTATCAGTTATTGCTCTTACATGATAATGGGTCATAGATCTTGCTATATGCTTCCCAGCCTTTCAATTTTTTTTCAGTTCTTTCATCTCCTAAATACAAGGGGGTTTTTTGACCCATCTTTTCTTAACTATGCACAGATACTGCATTAATTGACTGTGAATCTTAAAAATACTGAAAATCACTTCTATTTAATGTCAAATCATTTCACAGCTCTCATTTAGAGCAGAGGTGAGATACACACCTTTGGGGGTCTTTGTTATTGCCTTAACCTTTCCCTTCCCTCTCTGGCTCTCAAAGTAAGGAGTGAGTTGGGTGCAGGATTTGAAAGACAACCATTATCCACCTCTTTCACAGATGTTTTTGAACCTAGCCTTTACACGGAGGGGTAAGCCTAGAAGGGCCATGAAGGCAGCCAGAAACGCCTTTATATCTTTTCCCGTATGAAAGACTGATTCAGCAGGGAAACGCTCTGAGATTGAGCCATATGGGCTCTTAATATTTAACTCTAGACCTCTGTTTTAGCACAATGCACCCCCTTCTTTGTACACACATGTCTTTCTGGAGTATCTTTTTTCGGAGAAATAATCATCAAAAAAAAAAAAGTCCATACTGCTGAAATGTTAGAATGAAAAGAGAGAAGAAATCTCATGCTACCACAAGGTGCCAAACTCCTTCAGGACTCCCAGGGAGAGAAAAGGGATGAGTTCCTTCTCCTGAACACAGACGGTTTTGGAAATACCTTCCTTTTGCTGGAGGTTGGAATCTAAAGATCTGACTTTGGAACAAGTTCTTTACTCCTACTTGGAGAGCCTTTCCCAAAAAACAAGCCTGTGGCGTTGGTAAAATGTCTTAGAGAGAAATTATGTTAAGTGCCGGCACTGAGGATTCTTCACCAGTGCCCAGAGGAACTGCTTTCCACGCAACTTGGATCCAGTGATCTCTTGCGAGTGGCCAGTGCAATTTTGTGAATTAACCAAAGAGCTGACCTCCCCAACTAGTCCTTTTATCCCTATTTCGGGTTCTACCAAGCCAGAAAAGTTTCCTGGGAGATACTCATCCAGGGACCTTGTTCTGGACCCTTCCTTTGAGGTGTGAGTATTCAAGGGATTCTTTTGCCCCTTGCAGCCCCATCTCCCTCCTGCTAAAGGCAGCCGTCATTTGCCTCTGGGAACATTCTCCCTCCAACTGCTCCTCACGAGGCAGGAGAGGACTCCACGGCCCCAGGCAGAATGGGGAAGCCAGCGCTTCACCCGCTGGCATCGGGGGACTCCTGTCTCTGCCCCAAATCACTTCTTTTCCCGCCTCTTCCCGGGAAGCACCCAAATCTCTTCCACTCGTCCTTAGAGCGGGCCAGGGAGATTCCGCCATCCAAGGGCAAGGTGCGATCTGTGCAGACCGGGCTTCTCCCCTGAGACTCTGCAAAGGTGACATTCAAGTCCTCGCGCCGCCCCGGTCCCGGTCCCGGCTCATTCATTCCGGGCCGGTCCCCACCTTCCAGCCCGCGCCTGGCTCCGAGCGCTGCTTCCCCGGGCAATGTCTGCCGCGCACACCGTGCGCAATCTCAAAAAGTAACCTCTAGAGCGTTCTCTCGTCAGACGCTTCTTCACACCTCCACCGTGCCCTTTTCATTCAAATAAAACCGTCGTCCGTCCCCCGCATCTTCAAAGGGTTAAGCAGCTAGCTAGCTTCGCCACGGAAAACCAATCCCCTCCCCACCATCCCACACCCCCAGCCGAGCCATTGCTCCGCCACCACCGTCTCCGAGGCCCGGCGCCGACGTCTCCGGGTCCCCATCCCGGATGAGGGGCCACCCCCCTCCCCCGCGCGCGCCCGCTCCCCCGCGGGTCCGCAGAAAAGCCCCCTCACCCTTCGGTGGATGCCATGGTCTGGGGAACGCCCCCTCCTCTTCGGCGTGGTCCGGCGGCGGCGGGCGCGGGGCGAGCGGGCGCGGCGGGAGCGCCCGCGAGTGGCGGAGCGCGCTATTTAAGGGGGAGCGTCTCCCCGCCTCCCACCCCCCTCCCGGGTAAGCCCTTTAGCGCCTCAGCCCGCGCGGGAGGCTCGGGCCGGCGCTAAGCCGTGGCTCGGCTCTTCTCCGCGCGCGTCCCGCCTCGCGGGCGCTCGGCGGGGCGCTCGGGGGGCTGGGGGTGGCTTCCGCCAGCCAGCGCCGCCCCCGGGCCGCCGGGCCGCCGCCGCCGCCACCTGCGCGTACTGCGGGGCTCGAGGCGCGGCGAGGGGCCGAGCGCGGGCTGCAGGCGGGCGGCGGGGGAGGCCGGGGAGGAGGGAGTGCGGTGGGGGTGCAGGGGAGTGTGTGCGTGCGTGCGCGCGTGTGCGGGTGTGTGCGCGCCGGGGGACGCGGTGGCGGGCTGCTGCGCCCTGGCTCGGCGCCGCCGGGGAGGGATTGCGAGGTTTAGCCCCGCCGCAGCTGGGGATTTGCAGGCGATCCCTCTCTATTTTCGTCGAGAGCTGACATCACCCGCGCCGCCGCCTCGGGAGACTCCTTTAACTGCCGCCCCCTCGCCCCCCGTCCCCAGACACGGTCCCTCCTCTGCCGTGCCTCCCCGCCCCCCCACACACACACCCTCCCCGCTCCGGCCTCTCGCCATAAATTAGCCAAATAAGAAAGGAGGCCCCACTGGTCGCCGGGAAGGCCTGGGCAGCCGGTGGCAGGAACCCAGAGGATCTAAGGAGTCGCTATTGTTCCCCCCTCAAGCCCGCGTGGCCCCGGGTCACCCCGCGCCGGGCGAAGCGCAGGCCAGGGCCCGGAGACCTGGGATGCCCCTCCGTCCTCGCCTCGCTCAGCAGCCCCCGGCGCTCCCCCTCGCTCCTTGGCACACGCGCTCCGGCGCCGCGCTCACCCGCGGGCTCACCCGCAAGCTCCCCCTCGCGGGCGACACACCCACCCCATCCTCCCGCGTCCCGGGTGCCGGGCCCAGCCTAACCCAGCTGCGCGCCCTCCCCCGCCGCGGCCCGAGTAAATCTCTGGCCTTCAATTATTCATCGGGATTAATATTAATGCAGCTCCCGGGGAGCGGCCGGCGGGCGGGGTGCTGGGGAGGCCGTGGGTTTTTTTAAGCTTTGGGAGGTTGGCCTCGGGGGCGCTGGCTGGCAAGGCGCGGGGAGACTGCCCAGCTAGCGGCGGGGGACGCGTCTCCACCCACTCCCGCTCGCCTTCGGCTTCTGAGCCCCGGGGGCGGCGCACGGAGACAGATGGGCTCGGGCAGGGGAGGGTCGGAGCCTCCCCGCGGGCTTTGCATGATAATGACGAAATCCGCGCAGATTTTATCTTTGGGACGCAGCAGACACCTACAGCTGCAGCACCTGCCGCACGCCGTGACTGTCGGGAAGGGGAAACCTTACTTTTCTTCGTCTGGAAAATGGGACCAAAAATAATCCCCTTTGCGGGGCCGCAGTGAGAATTAAACCGGCTCTCTTGACAGATTTGCAACGTGTAAACGCTCCCGGGAGATGTCAGCGGTGCTTAGCTTGTCTCTAGGGACTTGCCAGGCTCCTCCGGGCAGGGTCACGGGACCCCATAACCCCAGTAGTGTCCGCGCCTCGATGTCTCCCCAATTTTCTGCCCTGGGGAGGTACTCTTCAGTCCCGCGGCTGTGCGGACCGTTGTCAGACGCCGAGTGCGGCTGGCTAATGGGTGAGGGAATCAGGAAGATGTTATTTAAGGGTACAAACTTGCAACCAGTAGGTAAATAACCTGGAGTTCATCCCGGGGACCGTGCCAGGGGAGCGGAGTCCCACAGGGACCGCTGTGTGGTTGCATGCCAGGCACTGGTACGCCAGAGCTTGGGTCCGTCACCACCTGCCAGGGAAGTAATCGGCAAATTCCTCAACTTTTCCTCATCCCATAGGCTGCATGAGAGTAACATTCCCAACCTCCCAGTGCTAAGAGAAAGAAATGAAATGTAAAAGATATGCAAAGCGCTTTAAAGTCTGGCACCCTGTAAACCCTCCAAGATTGTTCCGTTAAATCTAAGGGTCTCCGGAGGATGGTTTCATGAGCACAATATCCAAGGATGAATAGGCAGATAAGGGAAATACCACGAAGAGGAGAAAAGAACTAAATAGAAGTTAAATAAATAAGTAAATCTCTGCTCACCTCCTCCCTTCAACCCCCTTCCCAATATCTGAGTCCAAACATCTTCCTCCGCCCGTACCTTGCTCCATGTCTCCCTTTCCCTCTGCTCTCCTCTTTCTGTCTGCCCCATCAGATCAACCAGATCTACATCTTCATCAGCCTAGGACCCTTTACTTAACAACCCTTCTAATTTTGCATTTTCTTTTTAAAATTGCAGTTATTAAATTAATGTATTGATCTGTATTCAATTAAGGCAATCTGGTATATGTGTTTAAAAATAATTTGCAGGTGAAAAACTACTTTCTTGCGCCTTTGTGTTGTGATTGACACTGCCTTCTCTTTAACCCTACCAGGGGTTTTGTATCTAAAATTATCAGGTTTAGGACATTTATAGTCTCGTTTTCTCTTTACAATTTAGGGATTTTACTTCCTTTTCTGCTGAGGTGGCAGCTAGACAACAAAGCCATGGGAATCTATCCCAGGCCTAGATATTAATGATCCCAGCAGCCCTCCAGCACCCCTCTTAAGATGAGTGTGAATGAACTCCTCCTTTATAATCCCTCAGTATCTGCACACAGGCGTGGGGCTGAGTGGCACCATTCATTAGCACTCACTGCCAAGAGCAAGGCACCTGGCCGTATATAAACACAGACTAAATAAAAGGACAGAGGAAAGGGGATGGAGTTGTTTTCACTTTTTAAACCATCCAGTTAAAAAAATACTCTTAGAGCATTGTGCAAAGTGAGACAAGTCAGACATGGAAAGACAAACACTGTATGATGTAATTTATATGTGGAATCTAAAAAAGCAGAACTCAGGGGCACCTCAGTGGCTCAGTTGGTTAAACGTCTGCCTTCGGCTCAGGTCATGATCCCAGAGTCCTGGGATTGAGCCCCACATCGGGCTCCCTGCTCGGTGGTGAGCCTGCTTCTCCCTCTGCCTGCTGCTCCCCCTGCTTGTGCTCTCTCTCTCTGACAAATAAAATCTTTAAAAAAAAAAAAAAGCAGAACTCATAAAAACAGAGTAGAATGGTGGTTACCAGCGGCTAATGGGTGAGGGAATCAGGAAGATGTTATTTAAGGGTACAAACTTGCAACCAGTAGGTAAATAACCTGGAGATCTAATGCATGGCAAAGTGATGATAGACAACAATACTGTATTATAAATTCAAAGTTGCTCAGAGACTAAGTATAAATTATTTCCACCACAAAAAAAGAAATGATAATTATGTGACATGATGGAGGTGTTAGCTAATACTACAGTGGTAATCATTTTGCAATATACAAGTGTATCAAATCAACACGTTGTGCACCTTAAACGGTGTTATATGTCAATTATAGCTCAATAAAAATAAACTTAAAAATCCACTCTCATGTGTTTTCAGTGTTGAGAACCTAAGAGAATGCACGTGAATAATCAAGCATGGCGAGATTACATGGGAAAAGTGGTTCCACCTTCTCTATAAGTGACCATATTTGGGAACGCTGACATCCCACCCTACACTTGAGACACATTTGCATTCAGCTGCTCTTGCAGACAAGACCTATTGAATCATGCGGAATATACCACAGATAATTCTGGATAATAACCATTAGCTAGGAGGAACAAACCCTCTTTTCTCACACTAGAGAGCCCCTCCCAACATTCCCACCAGGTCTTCATTTTTTTAAAGCAAACTGGAGCTGTGCTTTTCAACACTGGCCACTCATTAGAATGCACTGAGAGAGCTCTTTAGAAAATAACCACACCCAGGCCACCTGCCAGAGATTTGGGTTCCATCAGCCTGTGGTGGGGCCTTAATTGGTATTTTTAAAAAACTTGCCCAGGTGATCAACTTTACTATAGCCCCTGGACTAGAGATGGTTCAACAAAATGGTGCCCAGAAGTAGTTGGAATTAATTGGTGTTTTAGCCTTTGGGAAGACAAAACTAAGGAAGACATGATACAAGGGTGACCCTCCTCTCTTCACATACAGGGAATTAAAAAATCTATCAGGCAAACACAGAGCTCTCTTTTTGGGTTGCACATGCAGGGAATACTGAGGATGAGCCACTATACCACACAGCCTCAGTGCTAGATGAGAATTCAGCTATGGGTCAGGCAGACCTGCATTAAATACTGCCCTGAACCCATATTAGACTCTTATGTTACCTTAGGCTGGACACTTCAGGTTCTCAGCTTCCCCATCTAAAAACTGGAGAACATAAGAATACCCACCTCAGGACTGTCGTGAAATTAAATGGGATAATATGAGGGAAATGCTTCGCACTAAGCTTGGCACATCTTGAGTGCTCAATAAAGGGTCAGCATCCACACATGGGAGCAGTGGTGTGTACAGTATACCACTGAGCCCACTTGAAAACCTAGCCTCTGCTAAGCCACCTAAAATATGATCCCCTAAATTCCTCTATCACAACAAACTGCAAGTCTCCTAGCCATCAGCATGAAGTTGACAGAGACTTGACAGAACAGGAAAAGGTCAACCCTACAAGCTAGCAGGAACGTTTTTGAGTTTTCTAGCATCTCTGTCTCCTCTAGGGACTCCATGCTTATGGCCAAAGCAGAAGGCATGGGAGGCTCTTAGGTTTGCACATAGATTTTTTTTTTCTTTCTCGGAGCTAGCTTGAGGGTTCTCAAATATAACGTAAATAAGAACTACTCTGTAGGACTGAACACAAAAAAAGATACACTGTACCGTACTCTGATAGGTGACTAAGAGACTTGAAAAGTTAATTTTTACCACAAGAGGTTTTGTTTCTTTTGCCTTATCGATTGTTTACTTAAGGTCTAACCCAGCTATGAGAAGTGACTTACCACAGTGGAATCAAGGTAGTGTCCAGGAACTGCATAGTACTCGTGGTATTACCCTAATGCTCACTGAGTCCTTGCTGCATCTTCAAAGTACCGTACTATGTATAACCTCATTTGATCCTTTAAATGACCTTCTACAGAAGATATGATTATTATGAACCCCATTTTACAGAGGAGAAAACTGAGGGCAACAGAGATTAAGGAATTTGCCCAATGTTACATAGATAGTGAGTGGTCATATCAGTCAAGGTGCTAGCCAGAAAAAGATGGCATATTCAAATTAAGCAAATTGTGCAGAGTTTACTCAAGGAACTATTTAGAAGGATATGAGAAGGGTGTAGGAGAACTCCAAGGGATAGTGCAGACCCCCTGGGCTGGTAGCAATAGAGCCCTCTTACCTGCCCTAATCCTGAAGGGAGGTGACTGGAACCTAGAGCGGAGGGCCATATGCAGAACAGGACCAGAGACCTTTGCTGCCACAGCCACCTGCTGGAAGGGGACCTGCGAATAACTAACTTGATCCCACTTCCCTCCTGTTCTTCTCTCCCCTCTGGGGCTCCCTATTGGCCA